TTGTCCCACTATCATGCTCAGCCTTCATTTGGGTTTCAGTAATTCCTCTTGGTTATCAATGCATCTTAATAGCATGTTTGATTAATTTCAGATTGAAGATGTTGGTACTTCAATTCCTTCATCACCAGCCTTAGTGATTGGCACATAGATTTGGACAATAATTATATTTTCCTGATGTCTTTCTAGGCACATTGATATTACCCTATCGCAGACAGCATTTTACTTCAAGATAGATCATGACGTGTTTTTTCAGATGATAAACTCAACCTCACTCCTCGTGTATTGGTCGTCCCCAGCAGAGTAATCCTGCAGTAAATGTCACAGGGGGCCATGTCTGATGTCCTGTGCCTTCCCTATTGCCAGAATCCAGGAGTCAGACATGTCCCCACTGTCCTTCCTTGTCTACCCACTCTGACGCCAACGCTCCTCCCACAGCACTTGCAAACAATACTCACAATTATAAGCGTGTCATAGGGAAATTAGTAGATCATCACAGGTCAGGATCAGTGAGCAGTAAGGATACAGTCATGGTTCCTGGTAACATTTCTCCTCACCAGCCACCAAATCTCTCTCTGGTCCTTAGCCTCTCAGCCACAAGGTCCTTTGCCTTTGCCTCCCCGAATCAGGAAGCCCAGCTGTCGTTCTGTCCCACAGTCCCATGTTCTCAGTGCGGTGCCCTAGCTCTGTCCCATAGCCTCCATGCCATCGTCTCTGTTCACTCTGGTCTCAGCCTCTGCCGCTTCAGACAGAGATCCGAACATGCCTTCTGATGATAATCCGAGGCTCTCTCTCTGTGCTCTTGTTCAAAGATGGTTTGTCCTTCTAGCCAGAGGGATGGTAGTGAAAAGCGACTCATCCCCTCATCCACACTGTTTGCCTAACCCCATCCAGTCATTTGGTGAGATTTCGGTGGAAGATCCATATTAAGAAATTTCACTCTACTACAAAACCATGATGGTCTGATTCCAACTGGCCAATACCAGTTCCGTTCAGCTCACTAAGGCCTCGGTTATTGGTTGTCTTCATGTGTCCCATTCCATTTGTGATGGCTTCCAGTTTCCCTAGATCCATGCTTCATACATTTCATGCTTTGATTATCAATGGATGCTTGTAGCTGTTCCTTCTCATTCTGAGCCATGCCCACCTCAGCAAATGGATGTCCCCAAAGCTGTCCTTCATCCATATCATTAAGGTTGAATCTGAGGAGGCAGTTCATGGTCCCCCATGCCATTTTCAGTGCCTTCTGACCCGAGGGGCTCATCTTCTGGTATTTGGAAGACAGGCGACAGCTTCCAGCATCACAGCAACATGCCAGCCACAACAGTATGACCAACTGACAGAATATCTTGAGTGTCTACCTCATTGAGACCAGCCTTGTGCTAATCCTTCTGAAAGAAATTATTTTTGCACAGCCTTGAGCGTGGGACTTTCAGTGGCCTCACCTGTGTGTGAAAGCTGGACCATGAATGAGGAAGACCACAGACCTGATGCCTTTGGACAAGGATGTTGATTAAGAACTCACATGTTGAATATCCTATGACCTGCCAGAAGGATGAGCAAATCTTTCGTGGAAGAAGTACAGCCAGACGCTCCCTAGAAACAAGGATGGTGAGACTTTATCTCACATATTCTGGACATACCATCAGGAGAGACCAGCCAAAAGGACAGCATGCTTGGTAGAGCAGTCAGCAGAAAGAGGAAGATTGTCCACAAGATGAACTGATGCACCAGTAACGTGATGTGGTAGTTACATCTCATGTCAACTTGACCTTCATGGAAGTGTAGGGTGGAGTCCAACATGTCCTTCCAGTCACAGCCTGGTGATGCCTCTTTGGGGTGTGCAGCCTTTTTATAAGAGAGACACTGGCCACCCAACCCTGAGACGTATCAGTGTCCTGCCGCCTTTCCACCCACTTTGGATCCACGCAACTCTGCACCCAACTGGCCTATGAACTTCCTGCTTCACCTTTTGGAGCCATCGGCCTGCAGCTATGTGAGCCTGGAGAGGGCCCTGACTTGCCTGGGGCTTCTGGACTTGCGCTGGACCGGGCTGGACTGCCTTCTCGATAGGCAGCTCTTTCTTCTACAGAGA